TAAGATCAACATAGGTGTCTTAAGTAAAAGTAACCAATAAGCGGAGTCCAGCAGGATATATAGTCCAGCTTCAAATAGTCATGTGTACTATTGATGGGTATTTTCTCATCCTATTATGTCTGAGTCCTAGACCTAGCTGTCGAGATTGACTCCCTTCCACTCCCAGCTTTATTGATGATTGACTGCTGGTCACTGAGGGCACAGCTGTGTGTAAGACTTGCCATTCCAGTGCCCTTAGCTTTGCCTACTTGGGCTGTCCCTTCCCCCTCCAGAAACTTTTGTTTGCTTAAAGAGAAGCAGGAAAATGCTGATTGCCCTATTATAGTATAGGATTAAAATACATGCAGTAAGGACCTCATGGGGCCTAGCTGCTGGCTGGATTTTCAATCCAAATAGAGAAGAAGAATGTTTGCTCTCTCTTTGAAAAATAAAGGGACTGTGGTCGTTGCTACACAAAGGGGAGCAGCTGGCAAGAGTTTATCTGTATGAGGAAGGAGGAGACATAAACTAGCCCTTGACTCTTTTAGTTATGAAATCCTGGATCTGTCTTGAACATCATTATAAATGGTGCTTATTAAGGTTTCGTGCCTTTTTTGGGGGGGGTAGGGTGATGCTGGCCCTCAAACCCAGGGCCTTGTATATGCTGGGGAAGTGCTGTACCACCAAGCCATACCCACAGCCTGTTTATTAAGGTTCAGAAGTCATAAAATCTTGCTAATTTTCACTCTGGAGATCTGGATTATCTAAGGGGAAGTGTCTTTTATGTCTAGCACCAATTGGTTCAGTTTAAAATTGCCCCACTTTGGGCCAGGGATTTAGCACAGTGGCGCCTTGCCTGCCTGGCAAGGTCCTGAGTTCGATTTCCAGTACCCTAAATAAGTAAATAAATAAATTGTCCCATTTCTTGAGCTTGCTGGTTCCAGATAGGTCTAAGAGGACCAAGATACCTGGTGTTGATTTCTTTTAGTAGAGATCAAAATGTGGTTCTATTAATTATGCTTTTATTTGCCTAATGTCCTTCTAGCTTGATCTCTTGTTATATGCTGTTCTTAGCAAATCTGAACTAGGATCAATGGAATTTTATTGGACTTTACTATTTTTTTTTTTTTTTTTTTTTTTGTACAGGGGATCAAATGTGGGAACCACTGAGCTAAATCCCCAGCCCAGGACTTTACTTTTTTTTTGTTGTTTTTGCTTTTTTTTTTGAGATGAGGTTTCTCTCTGTAGTCCAGGCTGGCCTTGAACTCATGCTCCTCCTGCCTCCTGCTAGTGCCGAGATTACAGGCAAGAGCCATCCTGCCCACCTCTGGACTTTACTTCTAGACTTTCTTTTTGAGATGTGGATTTAAAAACTAATTAGATTAGAGCCAATTGTAGTGACACAGGCCTGTTGTTCCAGGAGGATTCAGGTGCGAGGATCTCTGTTTTGAGACCAGCCTGGGCTATTATATAGGGAGTTCAAGGCCAGCCTGAACTATACAATGAGACCTTGTCGCATAAAAAGTGGGGGAAGGGAGATAGATTAGAAAATCATTTTAAAAGACAAAGAAAAGAAAGAAAATACAGTCAATGGAAAGTATGAAACCATTTAAAGTTTTCTGTTTCATTATATATTAATTCTGAGGATATAGTAAATATTTTGCGAGTATAAGACTATTGAATATTAGGTGGTATTGTATTTCTTTTTTTTTTTTTTTGGTACCCAGGATTGAACTCAGAGAAGGCAGGCATGGTGCCACTGAGCTAAATCCCCAGCCCTGTCTTTTTTTACATGTCTCTTTTCTGCAGTTTCTTTTGGGGTTTTTTGGAGTTTGTTGTTGTTATTTTGTTGTTTTCCCTTTTTTGGGGTGCCGGGGATCGAACTCTGGTCCTTGCGCTTCGGGGGCAGGCAGCGGAACCACTGAGCTAAATCCCTGGCCCGTTATTTTGTTTTTTTGAGGACTCACCATGTAGCCCATGCTGGCCTCGAACTCACAGCAATCCTCCTGCCTCAGCCCTCCCAAGTGCTGGGATTGCAGGCGTGCACCACCACACACAGCTGCAATTTCTTTGGTAATTGAGCTTGTAGATCTATTACTGCACAATGTTAGCATTGAGATAATTCTAATTTATTCCTTCCCCTGACTGAGATTACTTGGTTTAATTGACTAAGCACACCGCTTTTAATGTGTCATCTAGTTTTGTGATTTTGGCTTCTTTGTGTAGAGATTTCTTAAAGGGTCTTGACAGGTGGGCCAAGTTAAGAATAATAAAAAGAGTTACTCCTGGAACTAGTCTATATCACAGAGGTACAGTAATTATAGCAGTGCTGTGGCAGTGGATGAGTTAATTGTAGTAGCATTTCCCTTTTTCTGGACATGAATAAGTAATGTCCTAGTTCAGAAGAGAGCTTAAAAATAGGGGTATGCTAGGGCTGGGGATTTAGCTCAGTGGTTACACCGCCTGCCTCGCAAGCACAAGGACCTGAGTTCCATCCCCGGTACAAAAAAAAAAAAAAAAGAATTTGGTAGGATGCAAATTTAAAAAGAAAAAGGCCGGGGATTTAGCTCAGTGGTTCCACCATCTGCCTCGCAAGCTCAAGGACCCGAGTTCAATCCCTGGTACCAAAGAAAAAGCGGGGGTGGGGGGGGGGGGGGGGGGGGGGGGGGGGTGGGGGTGGGGGTGGGTTGTATGCTAAACTGCACTGGACCTCAAATAGCTGGGTAATTGCTGAAGCCATTTACTTACTGGTACATTGAAGATCTGAATTTCTTTGCCCTTTATTCATTGTTTTATATGATTTTGTATGATTTTTTTTTTTTGTACCAGGGATCGAACTCGGGTCCTTGTGCTTGCAAGGCAGGCAGCGGAACCACTGAGCTAAATCCCCAGCCCTGATTTTGTATGATATTTGATTCCTGACTCCTCTCTCTACTGGGGATTGAACTCAGGGCCTTCACACTGAGCTACATCCTCAGTCTGCCCCTTTTTTTTGGAGACAGGGTCTCGTTCAGTCATTAAATTGCCCAGTCTGGGGTTGAGTTTGAGATCCTCCCACCTCAGCCTCTCAGAGTGCTGGGATTACAGGTGTGTATCACCACGCCCAGCAGCTTCAACTGTTAGTTTCACAGGGAAATTGAGAAGCTTTTTTCCCCTTCTGGCGTGCCTGAAATGGATGGAAAGGAAAGCTTTGTTTGAGCCTCTTCCTGAAATCTAAGATGGTAAATGCATGATTAAGGGACTATGATCATTTTCTCCAAAGGACAGAGCCTGAATGAATCTCCCAGTGAGAGACAAGGTACAGAGCTCAGCTCTCACACCGCTTTTCCATGCTCTGACTTTGATCTTTTTTCACTGTGTTTGCCTCTTTTTCTTAGGAATGGTACCCAGTGATATAAATATAATCATCTAATCAAAGGCTCTTCTTTGAGACCTTGGTGGATTTTAAATGTTTATTGGGCTGGTTTTCTTGTTAGTAATAACTAGCATGCCTTGGTAGCTTTTGGATACACCTACGGTCTTTTTCTTTTTTTCCTTTTTTGGATTTTTTGAGACAGGGTCTCACTTTGCTGTCATTGGACTCACTAGCTCAGGTTGGCCTTGAACTCTCATGGATCCTCCTGCCTCAGCCTCCTGAGTGCTGGGATCACAGGCATGCACCGCCATGCCTGGTTTACACCTAAGGTCTTAATAATTTCCATGATTTTTCTTTGGGTTGCTTTAGGACCAGTCCAAGACCATACTATTAAATTCCTCTGGCTGCACTTTGGAATTCATAAAAATAGTGTTCCTTCAGTCACATTGGTCTTTATGTACGGTTACTTTGTGGCATTAAGATTTTTTTCACAGTTGTTGGTCATTGTGTTTCATATAAAGATTTGTGCATTGAGTTGTTCTTCATGTTTCGTTTGGAAACAAAAAAGGCTGGAGGAGAGAGCTGGGAGGACAGAGGACATCTGTAAGCACCATCTTTGCCTCGCCCTAGAGGATGACAATGCATATTTGGATTAATTATGTAGCTGTGCTGAAATTTCCCTCATTGAGCATCCTTAATTTGATTTTTTTGTGCTCTTGCTAGAATTATACTTTCACACTAATGACATCATTGTGAATTAGCTTAGTCAGAAATAACATTTTTATAGTTTTTCTCTGGGCCTTCTTTAAAGGATAATGTGATTTTTTTTTTTTTTTTGGTACTGGGGATTGAACTTGGGTCCTTCCGCTTTCAAGGCAGGTGGTGGAACCACTGAGCTAAATCCCCGGCCCGGATAATGTGATATTGATCAACCTGAAGTCAAAAAGCTGGTTATAGAAATTGATACCTGGTAACAGAGTCACTGAATGTATAGAATATTGGAGGGTTTTGGTTTTTTTTTTTTGAGTCAGGGTCTCACTATGTAGTCCAAGCTGGTCTTGAACTCACAGCAGTCCTCCTACTCAGCCTCCCAAGTGCTGGAATTACAGGCATGTGCCACCATACCTGGGCTTGAATTTTTAAAAATATGGGCTATCAGCTGGACATGATGGTACATACTTGGTAATCCCAGCTAGTCGGGAAACTAGGGTAAAAGGATTGCAAGTTTGAGGCCACCTAGGCAGCTTAGCAGACTATGTCTCAAAATAAAAAATCAGGGCTGGGGATTTAGCTCAGTGGTTTTGCTGCCTGGTACACAAGCTCAAGGACCCAAGTTTGATCCCTGGTACAAAAAAAAAAAAAAAAAATTGAATGTTTTGGCTTGGGGATTTAGCTCAGTGGTTCCGGCACCTCCTTGCCAGCACAAGGTCCCGAGTTCAATCCCTGGCACCAAAAAAAATAAATAAATAAATAAAACGGCTAGAGATGTAGCTCAGTGGTAGAGTTGCTTGCCTAGCGTGCATAAGGCCCTAGATTCAGTCTTCAATACTGCCTCCCAAAAAAAAGGAAGAGGAAGAAAAAAGGGAAATGGAAATATGGGCTATGGCTAAAGTGTTGGAGTGGCCTCAATTAAACAGGAGTTGCTCATTTATTGTTCTCTTTCTAGGTGCATGCTATTATGATGCTAATCAGTCTATGTATGTGTTTGGAGGTTGTACCCAGAGCAGTTGCAATGCTGCCTTCAATGACCTCTGGAGACTTGACCTCAATAGCAAAGAGTGGATTCGACCTTTGGCTTCAGGTAAGAAATGAGATGCTGATTTTTGTTTTTTTACCAGGTGACTCTGTTAGCATGGAAACTATTTGACCCTTTTTGATGTTGATTTCAAGTTTAAGTCCTTTCTCAGATCTGCTGTATAAATACTGAGAGTAATACGCTTATCTAAGTCTTTGAAGAGTTTTTTAAATTACATTTTATCATTAGTATTGGTGTCCTGCCAGAATTGCTCACTGCTGTGTGAATTCATTTACATAGTTTTCTCAGGTACTTGTACAGATGTGATGTTCTGTCAGGTAGGAGATTGAAGTAAGAGCAAAACCAGAGTCCTGAGAACTGGTTGACTGACAGAAGCTGTTGTCCCAGGGCTGAGGTCTCTGCATATCTTTTGTTCTTGCCAACTCAGATATTTGGGAGTGAATGGGACAAGCCTCTGCTGGTTACTCTTAACAACTCAAGAGTGTGGGAAGATTTCACAGGTGCATTCCTGCACAGTCCCACTGCGCCAGAATTCTGGCAGGAAAAAACTATATTATTTTCTTGATTCAACCTTGAATGGGGTAGAAAATGATTGTTTTTGCACTCTGAGACAGGACAGTTTGAAGCCCAGTTACAAGACTGGAGGGGCTTGTATGATAGACAAGTGGATCCTTGAGTATAGAGTGTTCTGCTAAGTACACTGCCAAGCTTTTCCCAAAGCATTCTTTATGTGGCATTTCAAGGATGGTACTCAGTCTTAGGACTAAGGAGACTTGAATTTCCCTTGGGCAGTTTCCTTATTTATTTAAGTCTTGCCTTACTACTTTGATTACTAGAATGGAGCAACAAGGCCTTTTAGAAAGGGCATTGTACTGAGGGAGTAGACATGAGCTTCATTTCCTAAATAAGCACCAGTTCTCTATGTAACCATGAGCAAGTTGTTGCACCTTTCAGAGAAATGTGGACTGAATGATTCTGTTTCTAAGTGGGCTGGGAGGGCTAGTATAGGTTTCACTATGTTTGTAACCACTGCAGTTAATATATGGGCCAGTGGCTTAACCCTAGCTGTGAAGAGAAGCTGCATTTTGCCTCTCCAAAACTGAAAACAGGGTCAGGCATTTAGCTCAGTGGTTTCCCTGCCTGCTGCGCAAGCGCCAGGACCCGAGTTCGATCTCCGGTACCAAAGACAAAACAAAAACTGAAAACAAATGTTCTTCCCCTTGCAATGGCCCATTAGAGGAAGATCCAGACCTTTTTTATGGGATGGACTAGGTTTTGGGCAAAAAAAAGTCGGTATTAAAATTATTGAGGTCCTCTTGCTGCTTTTGCAGTCTTCCACCGCCACAAACTATTGCCCCTCTGCCACCCTGCCTTGGAGCCAGCCAATTATGAACTGAAACCCTACAAACTGAGCTAAATAAACCTTTTCCCTTTTTTTTGTTTTTGTTTTGGTTTTGGTACTGGGGATCAAACTCGGAACCTTGCGCTTGCAAGGCAGGCACCAGACCCACTGAGCTAAATCCCTGGTCCTAACCTTTTCCTCTTTAAAAAAAAAAAAATTATTGAGGTGGAGCTGGGTGCAGTGGTACTGGTGTCAGACCCCCACCCAAGCCCAAGCAGACCCGCTACCCGTACCTATAGGAGTACAGAGATAACAAGAAGCCAGCAGCCACCCTGCTGCTCTCACCACTGCCCTGTTTATCAGCCAGCCCCAGACCCATCACCCATGGGACTCTAAAATTTTCCACCCTCTTGAACAGTGCCCCCTCCCCTACTTATCAACCACAAGCACCCTCTTCTCAGTGCCACTGGCCTTCTAGCCCATGGCCCATCTGCACCCAGATGGCAATAAACTCATCACATGTTGCTTAGACTTTGCCTGCCTCGGAGCCCTCAGTCATGCCTCCATCTGACTGTACTCACTTCTGCAGTCCCAGCACATGGGAGGCTGAGGCAGGAGGGTCACCATGAGTTCAAGGCCTGCCTGGGCTACACAGCAAGACCCCATCTCAAAAAACTAACTAAATAAGTAAATAAACAATTGAAAGCAGGGGATGTGGCTCAGCAGTAAAGTGCCTGCCTACCATGTGCAAGGCCCTGGGTTCAACCCTTAGCCCTGCAAAAAACTAAATAAAAAATAAAATTATTGAAAATATGAGGAAGTGGTGATTTTCCAGAAACTTTGGAGGTTAGCACTATGGTATTTTAGGGCCCTCAGAATTTTGTACTTTTTTTGTGGTTTTTTTTGGTACTGGGGATCAAACTCGGGACCTTGTGCTTGCAAGGCAGGTGGCAGAACCACTGAGCTAAATATCCCCAGCCCATTTGTTTTTAATTTTTAAAAATTGTATTTGGGGGCCAGGGATTTAGCTCAGTGGTTCCGCTGCCTGCCTCACAAGTGCAAGGTCCCGAGTTCGATCCCCAGTACCAAAAAAAAAATTTGTATTTGGGTGGGGTGAAGCAGGATTTCACTATGTAGTTCAGGCTGACATTGAACTCCCTGTGTATGAACTCCCTTTGTATCCCAGGCTGACTTCAAACTTGCAGTGATCCTCCTGCCTCAGCCTCCCAGGTGCTGGGATTACAGATATGCACCACCACGTATGGCTGAAGAATGTTCCCTTTTTATTTTTATTTATTTATTTTTTTAATACGAGGAATCAAACTCAGGACCTTGCGCTTTCGAGGCAGGTGGCAGAACCACTGAGCTAAATCCCAGGCCCGAATGTTCTCTTTTTAAAACATATAAGCTCCTAAATGTTCAAGTCAGTTTCTATCATGTCTCAAAGAATCTAGTTGCTGCCTTACCCTAATCTACAGTTAGAACCTAGAAAAAAACTGAGCTTTCTGAAAGCCTAAAAACGAAAAAGAGTGGTTTAGTTTAATAAAGAGTCCTGTGAGATCATTTAGGCAGAAATCCCATGGGAAGATTCCCTGAGGAAATATTTCTGTGTGCTATCTTGAGTCCCAACCAGGATCACTTCCTAACTGGAACATCAGTGAGTTTTTCTGAACAAAACACGGTTGTCTGTGAGTCCGTGACTCACCCACCTTAGTGCTTGGAGGTAGGGAGGTTGGAGGGTAGCTGAGGGGAAGGTGCTACCTTTCCATCTGGTGCCGGGTGTGAGGTGGTCTCGTAGTGTGCAGGTGTGCTGTTATCAGTCTTCAGGTGTAGCTGTTGGAGAAGTAACAGCATCGGAGAAGCAGTGGAGCACCTTGGTTGGGAGCAGAGTCTTACAGAGTTCTGCATCAGATGTCCCTTAACACATTCGAGACAGGGCTGTAATTCACCTGTCCTGCTGCTGGGCAGCTCTGAACCACCAGTGGTACATGCATGACGGTCCACCAGGCAGCATGGGTTGGTCCCATCAGGAAGTACATGCCTCCTGATAGGACAGTCATGCATGTACCACTACTGGTTCAAGCCGGCAAGAACATGTTACAATGTATATTACTTATATCATAAAGGAACCTGGAGCATTCTTATCTTGGTTGGTGTCTTACTTTGTTTTACCCAACATTCACAACTCTTAAGGAGGAGAGGTGTATTTTGGCTCACAGATTGTAGAGGTTTCGGTCCATAGTCAGCTGGCTCCAAGGGAGGGCGGTATGGCAGAGGAAAAATAGCTCCTGGCATGGTGGAGGGAGGCAGAGAGAGATGGAGAACAGAGGAGAAGAGCAGAGAGGAGAGGGAGGGAGACTTCTAGGCCATGCCCCCAGTGAGCCACCTCCTCTGACCAGACATCAGCTCCCAACATCATATTTAACTATAAACCTGGCAGTGAACTAATCCATCCATGAGTATCATGCCTCCCTGATCCAGTTCCCTCCCCAGAGCCCCACATATTGTTCCCAGCTACTCAGGTTCCTATGCTTAGGCTGGTTTGCTCACCACTGACCAAATAAGAGGAGGCCATGTATTTTGATAAAAAGGAAAAAAGCATTTGTACAAAGCTAGCTCCAAGGAGGGGCCCATTTGCCCCAAATCATCATCTCACCTGTGCAGGTGAGCAAGGGTCTTTTATATTGGGGGGGGGCATTGCACGACACAAAGACAGTGTACATCTCTACACTTGCTTTAGCACTTCCAGCAATCTTCCTATTGTGATGGAAAGGAAACCAATCTCCAGCCTCCTGGGGCTGATGGTACCTGCATATTCTGTCACTTCTTTTGGGCTGAGGAGAGGAAGGGGTGTTGGTCATGAGCTCAGCAGGAAGAAATTTGAAGAAGTTACTTATCTCTAAAAGACAAAATCTAGCGTGTAAAGTTCCATTTTGCAGTGCTGGTTACACTATCAGTGCGTGAGGCCTTGAGGGATAGCTAGTTATAAACCATAATAGTTGGTGTCTTAGCTCAGGCTGCCATAACAGAGTATCATAGACTTAATGGCTGAAACAACAGAAATCTGTTTTTTACAGTTCTGGGCCTTACCTTCTTGGCTAGAAATCTAAGGTCAGACTCTGGTGAGGTGTTCCTTCCTGGCAAAAGTGCCCCATCTGGAGGAGGGTGGTGATGAACACTGGGATGACAGATCTAACAGCTGAAGAGGCGTTCATTGCCAGTGACAAGTACTCTTCGTGGAGCTTGTATTGTAACAGTAAAACAAAAAAAACTAGTAAGCAAATTATTAAAAATTATGAAAAAAAAAGACAAGAAAAGAAACAGAATAAGAAAGGGAGAGCTACTTTAAACAGGAGACTTTTTTTTGCTAAGACCTAATGGATGAAGAGTGGAAGTGACTCAGAATAGCATATACACAAGTCCTGGGGCAGTAATAAATCGGAGGCGTTGGAGGAACTGAAACCAGACTTGTGTGGAGTAGCACAGTAAGCCAGGCAAAGAGTGGAGCCTGATCATTCGCAGGCCGAAGTTGGGGTACAGAAACTCTTGACATTTTAAAGAGAAGAATTCAGTGATCCAGTTTATATTTTAGGGCTGGGGATTTAGCTCAGTGGTTCCGCCACCTGCCTCAAAAGCAGAAGGTCCTGAGTTCGATCCCTCATACCAAAAAAAAAAAAATGCTTTTGCTGCTATTTAGGAAATG